TGGCTCACAACCTATGCTGGTGATTTGCATGATAAATCTGTTCCTTTAATTTGGATCAATCATGTTACCCTACCCTAGTCCATGCTAGGAGTTAATAAAAACAAAACAAGCAAGCAAAAAAACAACAACCCCACACAGGATAAACGAAAACATTAAAGTTAATGGCCTCCTCACAGAGGCTGTGAATTCTGCTGTCCAGTCAGACTCTGGGGGCAATAACAGGCTTGCTGTTGGATCCCTGAGTCACGTTTCTTTCCCGCCTTCACTTAACGTGATGTCTCAGGATTCTGCATACCTTTTGTCCGTGTACAAGAGGCCAAGTTCCATCCTTTCCATCTCCTACTGACAAAGTATCTGGTGATCAAGATCCTTTCATCTTTGGCTGAGCATCTCTGTTAGGATCCAGAACTTGTTTCAGAAATTTAACATCAGGATGTGGAATGTTTGTTTGCAGTGCATTAGACATGAGTCTCTTTCCCCCACTGAACTTCCAGTGTGCACATTAAGGGTTAGAGAGTGAAGCTTTCAGATTAGAGGCCCAAATTCCATGCAGTCACAGGCACCTCATTTTACAAGTTGATCACTGATGGTGTGGTATGTTAAGATTTGCCTTTCGTGTTTGTGCTTACTGTCCTTTTGAATCTCCACTGATTTACACAAGTGGTGTTTAGTTGTTGTTCAATGGTGTCCATGTCTTATTCAGAACAAAAATACATTCAGGTTTCAGCAGATGGTGATATGTAGGCTGCTGTAGGAGTAGTTGCCACCAAGTAGTTGCTCAAAAGTATTATATTTCTATGAGGAACCTAAATGCAGCTTTATACAAGATGCTAAAAGTACTGTGAAGAGAGCCCTCAGTGGTGTTGCTTTTTCTGAGGGGAAAATCAGTTGTGTGGGTTCCCAATTTCAATCAGGATCACAGCACAAGAGGAGAGGTAATTCCTACCCCACGCACACACACCACTTTCTTGACCTGAAATATACATATTTATTTACTTCATTGATACGCCCCACTTTTCTCCCCAGTGGGGACCTAAAGCATCCTAGATCATTCTCCTCTCCCCCATTTTATCCTTACAAACCATCCTGTGAGGTAGGTTAGTCTAAAAGTATGTGACTGGCCAAGGTGACCCAGCAAGCTTCCATGGCAGAGTGAGGATTTGAACCTGGGTGTCCCAGACCCTAGTCTGACACTTACTACTTCACCATAATGGCTTTCAGTAGGACTCCATGAAATGTTTTTGTTTTTTGCTCCACATTTTTGCAACAGGCATTCATGACAAAGCACCAAGAATTTGATTATTTTGTTGTTGTTTTACTAAGCACTGGGTGCAGATGTGTGGTGAAATAGTAATGTATGTCCACCTCTACCATAGTGTGGATTCAGCTCTGGGCTCTAAGGTGTCACCTCTATAAATGAATGGAGCCAGAACCTAGCTTGTGAGGCATTAGGCTATGGATTGTACTAGCCAGAAAACCTCATTAACTGGCCTGGCAGTGAAGCCGGCAAATCAGGCATAGAGAGAATAGGTGTGTTCTTAGAACCCTTGGAACTGGCATCCCAGTGAGCAGGACCGAGTCAGTATGCTCAGGAGGACACCCAGGCTTGCTGGATCTCAACTCTGTCGAGCCTGTTGCTCTTCGTTCACTGCAGCCTCTGCAGCTTGGTCCCTCTTGGGCAGTGAAAGACCAAATTCCCACTATCATTGCTCCACCTTGGCTAGCTGTGCTCAGCTTGAGCCTGTTTATATCTCAATCAGCACAAATGTGCAAAAGCTGAGACATGCTTTGTTGTGACTTATGATTTTTTTAAAAAACGAACCCTATGCCTATGCATGTTCCTTGCATGTACTGTGAAGGTGGTAGGACCTGTATCCCCAGTAGTAAGGATTATTTGAAATTTTGGTTGAGTATCAATCTTTTTTCCAAGACTACAGTTTGATTTTACTCTTGAGACTCTTTCTAGCACAACTAATATCCTCACTTCCCCTGCCCATGAGTCATTTTGTGGTATACACTTGATATCTAAGTTTTGAGCTATTATTTTTGGCAGCTGCTACTGTGCAAAATGATAGTCTCCCTTAAATTTACAAAGATTAGTAATAACCCCCACCTGCCCCCAAGAATAAATAAAGCCACATATTTCAAAACATGCAGTTTAAATCATGGGGCAATCCAGTTCACAAAACCTCTGTGCCACTGTATGCTCCATGAACTGCAATAGGACTTTCCCCCTTGCTTGGCCTTCACTTTCAGTATAACTACTGAAGGTTTTTATGAAAATGCGGTTTCTATTTTACAGTATGAGAGGTATTATTAAGGTTTGCCGCCTTTCTTGCTATAGTGGGTGATCTCCGCCACGGTCTCCGCCTGACCCCTGTTACTGCTCGAATGAGCATAGAGACGAAATGTTGGGGGGAGATGTCAGTGTTTTACCATAGAGATCAAGGCTTTACCATGGAGTGTTACATCATTACTGGGATTTAGCCAAAAGTGACAACATGTCAATGATATCTTTCCCCCCATATTCTACAGCCCAAAGTCTCCTGGGGGTTCCAGGCACCCTGCCTGAAATATGTCCAAGGGGATTATTTATCCATTCACTGTAATAGTTACTGATCTCTAACGGCTGCACACTAGGGATATTTCTTCATATATTTATTTGGAAAATATCTGTGCCACCTCTTTAAAGAACCTGCCCTAGGTGGCTTACAATCAGCATGGCCAGCTTCAGGTAATGGCTGGAGATCTCCCTCTGTTACAAATGGTCTTCGGGCATCAGAGATATTAGTTCACCTGGAGGAAATAGCAGCTTTGCAAGGTGGAATCTGTGGCTTTCTACCCCATGGAAGTCCCTCTCTTCCCTAAACCCCACCCTCCTCAGGCTCCACCCATAAAATCTCCAGGTATTTCCCAACTCAGAACTGGCAGTCCTACTTATAATATCAGTCAGTCAGTCAGTTAGCCTTTATTGGCATAAAAGAATACTTGAAAAGAGGATTACTATTAAAAAATATACATATAAAAGCATATAAAACCATACATATAAAACCAAGTATTTTGCAAACTACATAATATTGCACAGTGTTACATAAAACAATTTGTTACAAAGGGTTGCTCATTTTGATAGTTTTTCCTGACGTAGCTTTATAGCTGATTGTAAAAACATGGCTCCCTTCACTGATATTTCAGTAGCAGAGTCATTCAGAAGACAGTGCACTTTTAAAGCATCAGGAAAGTCCGTCATGTTGGCTAAAACAGGGTTTAAATATCTAAAATGTGTATCTACATAAAATTGGCAATGCAAACAGATATGTGAAACTGTCTCGATGCATCCAGAGTTACAATGGCAAAGTCTAGTCATATATGCTATATTATTATCTCCCATGCAAGATTGCTGATGGTAGTGCAAATGCTCTGCGCTGTTGTGGTGCTTGTATATCAGATAGGTATGGGGCCATTCGGCCTACTTATAATATAAAACATGGAATTTATTAACACCGAGCATTCAAAAGCACAGCCGGAGGACAAAACAACACAAAACATGGAACAGCATAAAAAGAATCTTAGGTAAAGGTAAAGGTTTCTCTTGCTCAAAAGCTAGTCGAATCTGACTCTAGGGGGCAATGCTCATCTCTGTTTCCAAGCTGAAGAGCCAGCGCTGTCCGAAGACTTCTCTGTGATCATGTGGCCGGCATGACTAAACGCCGAGGCACACAGAACGCTGTTACCCCACCAAAGCAGTACCTATTTATCTACTTGCAGTTTCTTGCTTTTGAACTGCTAGGTTGGTAGGAGCTGGGACCAGAGACGGGAGCTCACTCAGTCATGCAGCACTAGGATCTCGAACTGCTGAACTACAGACCTTCCAGTCTGCAGCACAGCGGCTTAACCTCTAAGCCACCGTGGCCCTTAAGAAGAATCTTCAGGATTCTAAAAAAGACTATTAAACTATAAATAAATAAACCTCTGTTATGTAGTGGGTTGCCGCATGGATAGATGACAGACACGGACGTAGTGCATAGCACGCTTTATTAGGTACACAACAAGAATGAAGACTAACGGCCGGCAGGCCAACTATATACAGGGACACACCCCTGGACCCCGTTGGTGGGTTTGAATTTCCCGCCACGGTGCCCATTGGTTCCCTGATGGAGGGACTAGGAGCCTAGTCCCTATTGTCCTCTAGATTCAAGCTCAGGTAGTTCGCTGGCCCCCGGTGGCGGCCAGCATACACAACAACCTCTTTATTGAAAGTGTAGATAGATACGTTTTGGCCTGGCACCTAAAGGTAAGTAGTCTAGGCATCAAGTGAGCCTCAAGGGAAAGGGTATTCGACAGGTGAGGTGCTGCCACTGAAATGCCCTGTCTGGTCACCAAGTGCCTCACCTCTGGAGGAGGATCTTAGTTGGTGAAGTATGGGAAGAAGCAGTCTTTCAGGTACCCTAGTCCCAAGCTCCTTAGGGCAAGGATAACAACCAGCACCTTGAATGGTGCCCAGAAACAGATGAGCAGCAGTGCAGATCTTTCAGATCATATAAAACATAATGAAAGCGATACAATTCGTGTATACTTCTTTAACTTTTATTTTCACATGCACTTACTATATAGAAAGCTTTAGTCGCTTACTTAAAGTGTTTAGAAAATGGCTTTTGATGCAGTGGTGTAGCCACATCCCATGAAGTTTTTGACTAATTAATATACATATTCATGATATTTTTGTATAATGTTAGGGTGCTTGTTGACATTTGTAGTAATAACTGAAGATATATCTTGACCACACTGAAATGAATAGAAAATCCTATTAAAGTCAACTTGATTAATATTTAACCTTTAAAAGAAATATATTAAAACTTGAAAGATGGCAACAAATCAAAAGATCAACTATTTCCCATTTTAAAAAATCCAGAATTCTAGCAGCTCTAAAGTGCATTATGCACATGATTTTATATTTGTTTAGAAATGCTGGGCAATTAAAATTTTGCTTGCTAATTTTACAGATTCCTTGCAGCTTGGAATACTGGGATGAGCTCCAGAAGTCGTTTGTAGCATTCAGAGAATTCAGCCTATCAGAAAGCAAAGTCTGTGAACTGCCACTGCCTAGTATTGACTTAATGACTGACCAGAAAGAGCTTGTAGCCTCAGATCTTTGGAGGATTGTCCTGAACAGCAACCAGAACTCAGGAGATGATCAAAGGTAATCAGTGCTACTATTGCTTCAAAGGCACAGATCATTCAGGTGTTAATTCACAGAGGAAGATCACCAAAGCACTTTGGGAAGGTATCTGTAACTTATCCAGTGCATGTATTTTGCTGGGCAGGGATCTGTCACAAACAACAAAGTGCTCCAGTTTGCCACTTGAGTGTGTAGACATAAAATCTAGTCCAGTCACTTGTATTGCAGGGAAATGCACTATGATTTAATTGTGCCTGATCAGCTCCTGTCCAGTGTAGTGACAATGTGGTGTGACCACAGACACAGAAAAGAAGTCCTGTATCCTTTTCTTCCAGAAGCCCAGTAACCACTACAAAGTGTTGTGTAGTTACCTAATTGATCTGACTGACACAAACATGGTTGGTTAGTTTTGAAGGTATTGGAACTCTAGCATGTGTTCATGTAGAAAGAGAGAGATTGCATACATGGTGGGGATGCAGTGACGTTAAAAGTGCACACAGAAACACGCACCTCAAAAACAGCTGATGTGTCCGGAGACTGGACTTTGTGAATAACTTGGTTGTGTGCGTTTGCATGTTTTAATAGCCACTTACATGCCTCAGAAGTTATATAATTCAGGGAGAGGCTGGAAACAGAAAATGGATAACAAATCAATACAAAAATCTTGAACATCTGGTTTCCATTAATCATATCAGGTTGAAATTATTTCTTGATGTTAATTGTGAAGGAATGCATTTTCATCATTCAGAAGTTAAGTGTTTTAGACAAGGTTAATTCCTTTGAATGTGGGACCGTCACAAAATTACCTCAATGGTCAGCTTAGTACCATAGAAATGTGAACTCTCTGGGAATTAAGCAGAAAGCTTATGGAATTCAGGAGAATTTTTTTCATCAAAGCATTTAGAACTGCAGTCAGAATTTTTGTTATATGTTCATTTGGGGCTGTTAACTGTATCTAATATTTCCTAAAAAGTATTTTCTGTAAAAGTCTTGTCAATGGCAATCCTGATGAACTAAACTTCTTATGTGGGATCCTATGATACGAAAAATATTTAGTGTTACATAAAATATTTAAAAAGTGTCAGTATTTTCTTTCAGTGTACCAAAGAATAATATAACTTGGAAGATGCTTACAAACATTAAGAAATTGCACTGCATTTCTATACATTAACTTAGCTGTGTGGCCAGACAGATTCTCAGACCAAGAAACCCATGAGTTTAGCGATAGGTATGATTTATGTGTCTTTGCATGTTGCCTCTTTAGCTAATGATCCATTATGAAATTCAAGAGGTGCTATTTTTCCCCCTATTTCTCTTCCCACCATATTATGTTGTTCTCTTTCCTAATCTTTTTCATGAAAAGTTTCCTTGCTGCTATCCATTGGTCTATTTTAAACTAGAGGATGTTTCTGATTTGTTCTTGCTCAGCACAAAGTGATTAATCTGCGTGGGGAGATCTGCCCTGGTCATTCCGTTGAAAGACCTATCTCCTCCCTTCTTAGCCCCCAAAGCTGTTAAACACAGTGGTAAGCATTTACTGCTGGTTGCTAGCAGTTGCTGATTTTCCTTTGCCTTTTTGTGGCCAAAGACAAACAAAGTATCCTGTGCTTAGCACACTTGACTCTGCACCTTGAATATACAACCTCTGCTAAGGGAAATTCGAGTTTGTACCTGCTTGTATAGCCCCTGGGAATCCAATACTGCTGAGATGTCCACGTACCATAGCTGTCAGTGACCCCTATACCTTCTTTTTGCCATTATTTCATGATTGCCCTTGTATGGTACTACCTGGCTGTCGGGGGGGGGGGGGCCTCCACCGCTTTGAAAATGGGCTGTAAATATATTTATGAAAAAGGGAGGTCCTTTTTTTTAAAGTCACAGTTATAAACTCCACAGCAAAAAAAGAAGCAGGAAGAATTGTCTTAAATTAGAAGTATGCATACACACAGTGCATGGTGTTAGTTGATAACCTCTGCAGAGATCTATTAAAGTGATTGCCACATAATTATTTTAAGAACTGAATGGTGCGAGGATTTTTACTGAGAGACCAGGTAGCATACTGATGGGAAGTTGCAGCTTTAGATTTCTTAAAAATTTCTATTTTATCAAAGCTGGGTAAGAAATCTTTCTAAATTAATGACTATGCAGAACAGTCCAGTATAGGTACAATTATAAAACGGGGTATATTTCTGGGGAAAGTGTCTATTTTCTTTCACTTAAATTGTGAACTTGATTATTTCACTTTTTTAAAAAATTCTGTATTATCTTTTTCAAAAGATTAGTCATTTCTTACCCTGCAGCTGATAGAAAGTTTTTAATATGCACAGTTGATTTTTCTCTATGTTCAGTCTAGTTGAAACATGCGAATGTTTTTGAAACCAACAGAATTCACTCTCCTCAGATATAAAGAGCTCAGCAAGTTGTAATAACTGCTCCACAAACTCTGCCTAGAGGAAATATGGGCACCATTTGTTTTTGTTAAACAAAGTAATGGTGTTTTGCTCGATGCTTATGCCCGTAGCAAGGGTCCTATAATAGCAAATGGTCAAATCCTGTGAAAAAGTCTGGATACATAGAAGTAACGCTGCCACTGCATTTCCCCCCTGCAGCTCTGAAAGTGAATCAGGCTCTCAAAGTGTGTGCGATCAGCTCGTAACTCCTACTGCATTAGCAGCCTGCACCAGGGTAGACTCGTGCTTTACCCCTTGGTTTGTACCTGCCCTCGGGGTTTCAGTCCAGTTCGCACATTTGGAACTTCACCTTTGCCACCATCTTGATCAGCTAGGAACAGGTATGTATCTTACACTTCTCAAGAATACGATTGTATACATAGTTTTTGCATTTGCTCTTCATCACCACCACCTGCTTTACATTTGCAGTTTCTTGGTTCATGGAACCATATGCTCAGATAACTTACACCTACTTATCGGTAGCAAGAATGCATAGGAAAGATCATGTGCTTGGCTAATCAGTCCAGCTATTTGTTTCTGGCAAGACTCACTAACTGCAGAAGGTGTTGCATTTTCATACTAGAGGCCACAAGTGCCTCTTCCCTATGTTCTAGGCTACCCGAGCAAATTCGGCTCTTTAAATTTTCTAATATAACTCCTGCTTCCGAAGGTTTTTGCATTTTCTTCAGAGACAGATTCTAAAGGAAACTGTAAGCATAGTGACCTTAGTTGTTATTCCAAAGAGAAGAAAAATCCATCTGTTTTTGTTCAGTAGTCTGTGCCATTGCATGAATGTCAAATTTATTTCCAAAAACGGTTAGATTGTGTGATTTCAAATAATGCTTTCCAGGAAAGATGAACAAATATCTAAGCACTTCTTACAGACAGAACTTTTTCAAAGACAGTACTTTTTCACTGAAGTGATGTAATATTTTTCTACTAACAATTAAATATGATTAATGACAAATTTGTCTAAAATTTAATACAGTTTTGAAAATACCATGCCTTCTTTAGCTCCTCTCATAACAGCTAATGCATCCACTTCCATATTTTCAAGTTTCAAATGAGAAAGCTATGATAAAAGCAAAAGCAGCTTGAACCAAACACAGCTGTGGTAGCATATATAATATTCTTTCTATAAAAGAATTTTGCTTAAGCTGCTATTAATTATAAATGTTTTCTTTGCTGGTTTATGTGCAGTGGGGCAATTAAGTATCCAGAACTGTGGCTCTGAAAGACTTGAGTCGAAGTTGGATAATACCTGGTCTTTCTAGGGATACGATTTTCTACAAATTGAGAATAATCTGAGTACCTGTTCTGTAAAATACATTTTTGTATACAGAATGATTCCACTTACTGATAACTGTTCTGGAGTAGTCTTGGATCTTGCCGCCTTCTCTCTCTCTCTCTCTCTCTCTCTCTCTCTCTCTCTCTCTCTCTCTCTCTCTCTCTCTCCCTCCCTCCCTCCCTCCCTCTCGAAAATTGCATACATTTTTAAACAGTTTTGCTGCTCAGTTTCCCCATGCATTTACATAGTTGTTGCCATATGATAAATAAAAATAATAAATAATACTTAGTGGTGATCACCAGTGTTCCCTCTAAGCTGAGTTAGTGTGAGCTAGCTCACAGTTTTTTAGCCTCCAGCTCACAGATTTTTCTCTTAGCTCAGGAAGGATGGCTCCAGAGCAAACTAATTTACGCAGTAGCTGAATCACTCGCTCACAACTTTAATGCCAGTAGCTCACAAAGTAGAATTTTTGCTCACAAGACTCCATAGCTTAGAGGGAACATTGGTGATCACCCTATCCATATTAAAAATGAATTTTCTAGAGAATGCTCATCTACAGGCACTGGTTGTTTCTCCCTCAGCTCTAACGTAAGTTCTGATTTTTACTTTCTAGCATCTTTTGGTAGCTCTAATATATAGTAAGAGCTACTTGGCTAATTTTGATTAACTATATTTGTTGTGGTGTTTGGTGTTGGCGGTAATTAATCTGCAGCTGTCAATGTCACCACCACTGTAGTAGTGGTCTGTCAGTAGTATGTAGTGGCACTTGTTCAGTACTGAAAATACATTTTGAGATATATTGGTTGGTTTTTATTCTTTGTTTCAGTGGCACCAAAGTTTCTTCATCCATTCATCTCTGATAAAAATGTGCCCAATGAGCTGGAACACTTGATAATCTCATTCAAAGAACCACATATCTATCTACGGCAGTGGAGTGACGGCTCAGTCTTCAAAGAGATCCAGTTCTCCACCACAATTGACTGCAAACTTTTGGAGTATCGAAATGTAACGATGCAGGCTATCATGAAGCCCTTTGGGATGTTTGGGCAGATCGCTGTTTCTGACAATTCAGTGGAAAACTTACTGGACTGCAATGTGATGGTGGAGCCCATATTTGTCAGCTTTGGTCAACATGCCATTCACTCACTCCACAAAGCAATCCAAGCTTGGCAACAGGTAGGGTAAATAGCAGGACATGAATGGGGGAAAAACAAGCCGATTCTTTTCTTTTTTTTAATTCAAGTTTTTAAAAGTCAGGAAAGTATAGATAACTGACTTGGGGGAAGGGACAGGGATAGGAGCGATTTGTCAAAGTGGCTGTCCACTCTGTCATGGCTGAAAATATCTAAACAATGGTCAGATGCAAATAGATACATAGAGTAATCGATGGCAGAATGGTCAGCATTTATGCTGGTGGGCTTTCCTCTCCCAAGGTAGCAGACAGTTGACATCCTGTACAGTTCTGAACTTCTGAAGGAGGCTTGGCAATAGCTTCAAGAAGTCTAGTCTAAATCATTTTATTATTGATTTTTTACTAATAATAAAGGATATATTTTGGCAGGAAAGCCTACTAGAAATTGTCTTGCTATCATGTGCAACATGATTTCGAAGGGAATCTGGGTTTAATAAACCATTTTAATTAATTTAAACCTTTATAAGTAAGATCAGAATCTGACCCAGTGAATTGTTGTAATACACAGCACTTAAATTTAATATAATAGATCAGTAATATGTGATCAGCAACTTTGATTTGTTTATTCCATTTGTGGTATGCCTACCTACTTTCCCCTTTTTATCTCACTAAAGGTGTTCGCAACATTTTGCATTACATTCATTACATGGAAAATTGATAGTTCAAAGGAGTCTGAACATGTGCAGATTCTCCTTTCTGCAATAAGGACTCAAAACATCTTGAGCTATCTCAAGCTATCCTGTCCTGCAAAAAAAAAAAAAAGCATTCTCCTTATCAGTCCAAATGCCTAAACGAAGTCTGTGCATTAATTACCCATCACAAAACTACAATACTAATGTTAGAAAAGATAAAACATCTGTTTCATATCAGAGTTTCTTTTTTCAAGGCATTCCATGGCTTTCTTATTGTAAAAGGACGTTCATAAAACAAGAGCTAGTGTGATTTAAATCTTTACAGCTGGTTCAAATATCACTGTGAAAAAAGAGTCTTTGTAGCTCCAATTTCTGCTTTTTGTCATATTTTTGAGCAATGTGCTTAGCAGAAAACAAGCAAACAGAAAAGAGAGCTTTGGATGAGGCCCGTTCCGCATGGGCTGGTGGGGTAGCAACTACTGCAAAATGGCCTTCAGAAAGGTCAGTTGCTTTGTGCAGTTAAAAAGTCTCTCCAACAGCATATGCACATAAATAAAATACACTGTATAAATATTTAAATGTTCTTGCCCACTTCAGAATGTGAATGACTAACTTGGACTACAGGGTGCCTTAGAGGAACACTCCGCTTTGCAAACAACAGAGTTGTATATTTGATTAAGTAGAGCCACATGTTTCATAGCTACATGGTTCTGACAGGTACATTCTATGAATAGTTTGGTCTGATTTATACATGTAGATGGCAATGTTCAAATGACCCACAGGAGGATATGCTTCCGTAATTGTTGCTGTAATTTTCTCATTTCCTCTCAGGTCAGGAGTTCTTGCCACCATCTTCTGATGTGGTAGGTGGGTCTGTAGCCCAGAGTGTACTAGATTAAAAACTCACTCTACTTTTAAATTAGGAGACACCAGACGTAGAAGTGGGCTCAGAACTGCTCATTATCATTAATTGTTAACAACATGTTCCTTATGTGGCTTCCTCTCTGCCACATACAGAAAATTAGCTTCCCACTGGTAAACGTTTGGTGGGTACAGTTGACTATCAGCACAGTACTCTTCCTGAGAAAATCATGGGCGCTGCAGTTACTTGCATTCTTAACATTTTTAACTGAGTATCTGGGACAAGTAATTTTGCGCACAGTGCAGATAGGAGCTGACATAGGAAGCATAAAGCAATTTGGCCTTGCACCTTTAGGTCAAGAGTTCAAGATTAACAGAAGCATCTGTCAGTATTTGTTTCTCCCAATATGTGGGCTAATTTTTTTTCTTAAGTAATGATGGCAATTTCAAAAGTAGATTAGGCTTTAAAGACACCATAAGGCTGTTTGCTTTATAATTCTTGGTCACATGTTTGAAATTCAAGAAGATGGATTTTTTTAAAAGCCACTTATTTCCCTTATGTAGGTAACCAGTTCAAAGTCTGATACATTATAACAGAAAACACTTCTCTTAAATTGAAAGGACATAATCCAGCCAAAACTAAGCTTTGTGTCCCATTAACATCAATGGGAAAGATTTAAGTTTATGACGCATTGAAATAAGTGAGCATCAAAGTGCTGAACTTTAGCAAGATTTTGCCCAAGTAGTGGCATATTTAAAGCCAAACTGTAGACATTTACCACAGAAAGTAGTTGTAGAATGGCTGAAAACTTGCATCTCTTTGCCAACAAAATGTTGGCCTAATAAAAACTGTCTGGTCACCAGAGCTGTGTTCTTTGAGCTGTGGTTAAATTTTATTAAATCCAGTGTAATATATTGGAGATTTTTAATTCCATAAGATCAAATAAACAAAATAAAAATAGGTAAGAAGGCTGTTATACAGTTATATGCAGAATTTTTCAGTGTATTTTACCATTTCAAATGACTTCATTATTTCAAATTATAAGAGGAACGAAAAGCTATGGAAAATAGGTAAGTTGAGTGAAAGACCTTCAGAGCCTGTTCTCTTTGGACGATATTTTGCAAAATGTAAATCATGTAAATAATTTGCAAAATGTCTTGATAAATGGATCCTAAAAAGTCACAGGAGGTATCATCTTTGAAAGATGAGGGAATCCATACATTTGTTCCTGCCAAGGTTCATGTCATGGTGTAACTTTTTTGTTATTAGCACATTGGTCCCAGTTTAATTAAGGAAACTGAAATGAATCACAAGATAGCAATTATCAAATTATCAGTTATCTTCCAAGAAGGTTAAGACAGTGTGGAAAAAATATAAGCCAGAATAAAGCAGGACTCCTGTGACATGTATTTCTGTGTCCACAGTGGTTTAGTTCTTCCTGGTCCAGCTGGAAGGCTGCTTCTAGCATTATTTTTGGTCAACCTGATTTGAAGACCACATCTAAGATGTTGCTTCATGAATAGCTAGATGCCACTGGGAGGAAAGGATTTGCCTTTAGAACAACCTGGAAACCACACAGTCATATACCTTTCTGAGGATTGAAACTGATGTGACGTTCATTGCTTTGCGGGATACACTGTAGGGATACAAGCAGTTTGCCAAAGTGAACAGTTTCACAAAGACCTGCAGATCAGTAATCAATTTAAAGTAATCAACTGGACTGCTACTTGGAAGGGAGGGAGGAGTGGCCACTCTTCAGGCTTCTCACTCTGTCCCTTGGTTGCTCCAGCTACTGTTAATTCTTCTTCCGTTTGGCAACAAAAACAGCATATAGGAAAGGGAATTATATTCAAGCCGGGGTTTTGCCTAATGACCAAATTGTTGAACACTGAGCCCTGGAAACAATCTCACCCATGCATGTGTTGTGTGTGTGTGTGCACAGACACACACACAAGGCAGATGCAAGAGCCATTCCCTCCTCCTTCACATCTTGACGCCTTCCTTTCTTTCTTGTTCTCGCACCCCTTTTTAAATTCTGTTTCTCTTCCTATTTGCCAAGTGTTCCTATCACCAATAGAGGGCTTGTATATTTTGTGTAAATACAAGTAGGATTACAATCTTGTCTGCTCTGATATAAAAGGTAAGCAGACTAGGCAAGCTTCCAAAGGACTATATGAGTGCACTGTTTTTTTTCTGAACGATAAGTGCAAAACATGAAAGCAAAAGTGATTTGTTGATTAAAGATGATCTTTAGGAGCAGTCTCCAAATGGCAAACCAAAGGGCTTTTCCCCCAACATAAATAAACATTTTAGAGGGAGTACCCGAAAATATAACATTCAACATAATCACTATTGGAGAACTTAAAAAATTAGAACTGATACGACTATTGCAAAAATGTATCATCTTGTTCATAATCTCTCACTTACTGAATTATTGGACTCTCGATAAGGCTCACATTTTGTTATTTAAGCAAAGGGTGCGGGGTTTTTTTTAGAACTGAAATTTCCAACACCTGCAAAGCTATGCAGCCAGTTTGGTGTAGTGGTTAAGTGCACAGACTCTAATCTGGGAGACCTGGGTTTGATTCCCCACTCCTCCACTTGCAGCTGCTGGATGACTTTGGGCAAGCCATAGTTCTAGCAGAGCTTTTCTCTCAAGGACAGTTCTGGAAAGAGCTCTCTCAGCCCCACCTACCTCACAGGGTGTCTGTTGTGGGGAGGGGGAGTTTGTAAGCTCTGAGACTCTGAGTGAAGGGCGGGGTATAAATCCAATCTCTTCTTCCTCTTCTTCTTCTTATGTGGAACTATTTGCATATTATAGAAATTTGATCAACTAAATGAGCATTCTTGCTTTACCTCTACTCCTAACATGTACTAGCACCTGCGTTTCTTTTACTGGAGACTACAGGAATTGAACCTGGGACCTGCATGAAAAGCAGGGGCTATACCATTGAGTGGTAGCCTCATCCCTACTTCAGTTATTTAATATTTTGCAAAGCTGTCTTAAGTGGACCTACAACCTTTTAAGGCCACTAACTTTAATGGATTTGGGAGGGTATAATTCTGCTTAGGATGACATTGCTGGTTAGTGGTTAATTTATCCATTCAGTTATTGAGTTCAATGGAGTCCAAAGTAGTCAATAACATGCCACGGATTTCAAAAAAATATATTGTCTGGGAGTAGGCAGGATACCCCACCCGGTCCTAGTTGATATCCCCACTTATAGCAGCAAGGCCCACGCAGTGGGCAGCCTTGGGGGGTCTAGCAGGACATCCCAAAGTGGCAGAGACATGACCCAACAGCAGGCCAGTGAAGGTTTGGCCAAAAGGCATGGCTGTGTCAGTCATACCTCTGCAGCCTAGCTGGCCAGCTTGAACTCTCAGGCAGAGCACAACAAGAGCCCATCCCAGCCAAGGTGTGGGGACTCAGTCAGAGAGCTGATTGGGCAGGAGGGTATGAGGGGGCACCTGGAGAAAAGGGCCACTTTGG